AAAAGTACTACTACGTAATTATTTAGTTAACTTACTATTCAAATCAAGGCAGGTACATAAAAGCCCTTTTCAATGGATTTAAGTACCTATAAATTATTTGCACATTTCAGCCAAATTTGAAGCCAAGACCTTGTTATCTGGTCTGCACTAGTTATCATCCTAGCGGATATACAATTTACAGTCTTGAGTTCAACAAAGATATGGAAACGCCACTTTGACTGTCAACTAGAATACGCGCATTAATGCACTAATTCGTGTATTAATTTGCCCTATCAACCCAACAAGAAGGAACAATAACTCTTGCATCTTTTAATGGTTTTGGGCGGTTGGCCACTTTGGCTCAAAATTGCATAAAATTGATACTTAGTGCTCAGAGTTCAATAATTTAGTTTCATGTGATACTTAGTGCTCAGAGTTTCCACTCTATTGTACTTTTAGTTTTCACAAGGTGTCGTCCATGCCGTACATCTTGTGACTTGTGAGTAGAGCTGGCAAAAAAGCCCAACACCCAACAATCCGCCCATTAATTTTAAAGGATGGGTTGGGTCAATTGGGTTATGAATTTTGTTGGATTAGGTAAGAACAACCCAACTTATTCATTGGACGGGTTGGATTTTTTATTTGGGTACCCAATACCCAACTTGTTTAAAAGTAATTCAAAATAATAAATACAATATTCAATACACATATGCTCAACTATTTGTGTTTGGACATGTGTTAATAATGCATTGATTAATTTGTATTCAAAATTCTCATATATATATATATATATATATATATATATATTTTTCAATCAATTTTTTTAACTTGTATTTAAAAGAAAAAAGATGCCCAAGATGACCAAGATGACACTTGACAGCCACCATCTTTATTTTCTTTTAAATCATGTCTCCACCCGATTTATTGGTCTGAAGATAATTATTCAGTTCTTTCCCTCTCTTCTTTTTCTCCCCTGATAAATTTTTTTTTTTTTAAAAAATCCACAATACTTTTTGATTGCTGTTTAACAAAAAATTACAATTGATCCGCAGGTAGTGAAACAAATTCTAACATAAATTTAAAGTACTAAATTGACAATTTGTTAAAAGGCATTTAACTCTTAAAACTGATTTATAAGTCGTGATTAATACAATCATTCTAGAACACGAGTATTTACTTATTACAAGGCATATGGACTCTATATGTTGAACAGGACACAAATAAAGAGAATACCTAATACTAATACTAGAACACCGTTTCACATACGTAGTCCAAAAGCATTTTCTTCGATGCTTTATAATAATTATAAAGCATTGGATAAACTTGTGTGAATTTTTTTTTTTTTTGTGTGTTAAAATGTATGTGAAAAAGTTTATGTATTAAAATGTATTAATTAATCTGTTGGGTCATATTTGGGTAATGGGTTTGAGACAACCCAATATGACCCAACCCAAAATCAACCCAGTTTAAAGTTGGACGGGTTGGGTATAACCCATTTAAGTGAAAACTCAATATTAACCCGCCCAATTGCCAGGTATACTTGTGAGTGACATTAGACATTGCACAAAACAATCCATGGTTAGCTTTCCTGGATCTTGCTTTTCCTCTGACAGGTGATAAAATCTTTCTCTAAAATCTTGCTGTTTCGAAAATCTTTTTTTTTTTACCTGTTTCATGTACCTGTTTCTAATATCTTTTTTTGGGTCTATATTTTATTGTATATATATACTGACAGTATATGTACATTATCATGATTAAATATATGATACACGTGTAAAATTTTAATTTCAAAATCAAATTAAAATCAATCATCATGCATCTAGATTTGATAGTGTATGGAAGATTAATTCTTGATTCATTAATATAATCAACTTTCCACTTTTCACGTTACTGAAGTAGCTAGATTTCAGTCACAATGATTATATAGCTTCTCACCTAAGGCTTTCCCGCAGTTTTTGTTTTGCAATGAGGGCCCAAATGATGGCGTGCTTGACGAATAGAACACTTACAAATGTATAGAAGTTATTATCATGTGCTGTAATTGCATCAATCTATTGTCTACTCTAATAGATGCATTTCCTGGAAAAAGCGGTTACAATCTTTAAAAATGAAGCCAAGTCATACAGTTGGTAAATATTCTGATTAGGAGTGCAAAAGTTGGAGGATATATATTTGAATTCTAAGACAATAAAAATATAGAGACTAACTAAAACTCCTCCTTGATGAAGTATCTTGTTTGATTGAAGACTTTCATTTCAACTAACATAAAATTAAATCTAAAATCCAGTAAAGCTGTTGATGGAAGAAGTGAAGATGGACAATAATCCAGAAGAAGAGAGTTTGCTTGATCGTTCACCAAAACCAAGAAGAACAAAGGGTTGTCTCAAGACCATGCCTTTCATCCTAGGTATGCATGGAAATGTTGTATGGCTCTGCATTCTGTCATATTGGACAGAAGTTTTGATCTCTCTCTCTCACTCTCTCTATCTCTCTCCCTCTTGGTCCGTGAATGAAGCATTTGAGAGGTTGGCAAGTCAGGGGCTAATGCCAAACATGATACTCTACTTAACAAAAGTTTACCATTTTGAAACTGCCACTGCATCCACTATACTCTTTATCTGGGCTGCTCTATCCGATGGTTTGGCCCTTTCTGGTGCTTTCTTGGCTGATTCTTATTTTGGTGGGTTCCGGGTCATTGCTCTTGGATCCATGTCCAGCCTTCTTGTGAGTCTCTTTTACTTATTGTGTAATTTAACACATTGCTTTTTGTTTCTTTTCCCCACACAAAATTCTGGAATTGCTCATCTGTACTAAGTTTTGGACCAATATTTGCAAGTTTTGTATGCAATTACAGTTTAAAGTCATTCTGTTGCTGTTTCTTGAGATAATCTTCTTTATGGTTTACCAGAGGATTAGAAAATTTATGACTAACAAATATAATACTTAATTTGAATGATCAGTAACAAATATAGTACTTAGTTTGAATGATCAGAAATGTTAATTTGAGTAAGACTTTACTATCACTTACTAGTACGCTTATCTGTAGAATTGCTTTCGGAAAGAGGTATTGAAGGAAATTAAACCAAGCTATTTTAGTATTTAGTTTCCTGATTCCTTTTGGTATCTTATTTGTTTAGTTTCCATATTAGATTAGGAAATCTCAAGTCAATTTCCAAATAAGTTTTGGTTTACAATTATATTTATTTTAGGAAGTTTTAGAACCTATAAATACTACTAGTCTAGTAGGTTATTTGGTGAAGAGAAGTGAAGTGGAGAATTGAGTTGAGTCTAGAGATTAGACTTGAGAGAAAATCTCATAGTTGAGATTTGTGAGTTGTCGTGAGCGAAAGGCTACGACTTAATATTTGTTTTGAGTTAAATAAATTATTGAGTGTTTGTTTTCCTCCTCCTCCCACATATTTTTATATGTGTTAGAATTGCTTCCGCTGTGTGCACGGGGATTCTTCATGCCAACAAGTGGGATCAGAGCCCTAGGCTTTGATCCTAGGGCTTGGAGCTTGTTTGTGAAATTAAAATATGGATTCGCATTATTTACCACGTCGTGGTGTATTTATCTTTGATGGTAAAATTGATTTTGATATTTGGAAGTCGATGATGAAGAGTTTTTTAAAAAATATTAGAGTTTTGAATATTGTCCAAAAGGGCTTCATGGAACCTATAGAAGGCACAGAAATATCAAGGGATGTAGTTGAACAATTAGAGAGGAATAGACAGTTGAACTATAAGGCATTATACTATCTCCAAACCCAAGTCTAGTTATATGTAGCCAAAAAATTCATACATGTAAAGACAGCGAAGGAGGCTTGGAAATTTTTAACAAATTCCTATGGTCATGGTGAAGAAGAAATATGTGACGAGGAAGAAGAAAAAGAAGTTTTTGATGAGGCAAAGAAAGAAGAAGTTGTAACAATTGTGGATACACATGAAAATGAAGAAATTGTGATTGAAGAAGAAATTTCACAAGTAGTTGAGAAAGAAAGTGAAATCATTGATCAAATTAAAGATGTTATTGAAGATCATGATGATAGAGAAATTGTTGACTTTATTGAGATTGATGAATCTTTTGAAGAGAAAAATCAAGTGATGAGATTGGTTGAAATCAATTGTGAGGTGGACAAATTAATTGAAAGTTGTGACACTGCAAAAGTTGATGCAGTTGTTAGTGCTAAAAAACTAAAGGAAGAATATGGTGATGTTGAAAACCTTATTGGCAAAAATTATGATTTTTTGATCTTTGGAGACTTTATTGGTGATATGGATGAATTGAATTGTGGAGTATCTAATAAAGAATTGGTGGATATATTTGAATTTTTTTACAAGAGCGATCAAGAGAAGAAATTGTTTGAGAACTACAAGTTTCGTCCACCATCGCGTGTAAAGATGAAATTAGAGATCAACTACAAGTTGAAATTCCATATCATCTATACAGCAACTGAATTTTTCATGGAGATTCAAGTTAGAGATGGCATTGCAGATAACAACATCAAGAGCTTGGTTTAAGGGAGGCAATGAAGGAAATTAAACCAAACTATTTTAGTAGTTAGTTTCCTAATTCCTTTTGGTATCTTATTTGTTTAGTTTCCATATTAGATTAGGAAATCTCAAGTCAATTTCCAAATAAGTTTTGGTTTACAATTATATTTATTTTAGGAAGTTTTACCACCTATAAATACTACTAGTCTAGTAGGTTATTTGGTGAAGAGAAGTGAAGTAGAGAGTTGAGTTGAGTTTAGAGATTAGACTTGAGAGAAAATCTCATAGTTGAGATTTGTGAGTTATCGTGAGCGAAAGACTACGACTTAATATTTGTTTTGAGTTAAATAAATTATTGAGTGTTTGTTCTCCTTCTCTTCTCACATATTTTTTATATGTGTTAGAATTGCTTCCGCTGCGTGCACGGGGATTTTTCATGCCAACAGGTATGATGAGGAAGATCAACAAAGAAGACGATTCCAAGATCTCCTCCAAGAAATGTAGGCCACATCTTTTTCTCAGACTATATGCCTTCAATTGGTTGGCTTGATAGCCTCAATGGGATGCGTTCTAGACTTGAGAGGACTTGTAGCAAGTTAGATTCATTTCTTCAAGAACTCATCGACGAACACTTAAATCCAAATAGGCCAGAGTCCATGAACGGTGATATTGTTGGCATCATGCTTCAATTACGGCAAGAACAATCAACTTCCTTTGATCTAACGCAAGATCACATCAAAGCAATGCTCATGGTGATTAATTACCTATTCAAAGGACCTACTCCTTTTTTGTTTTGGTTCAAAACGTCCTTCATAGTTCAACAAATAAATTTTTTCGTCCATTACTTTTGAAATTATAAATTTATGTTCCTTACAAAATTAATTTGATAAAATTTAGTCCCAACCTAGATTTTTTAATCATTTTTACCTTGAATCAATTATGTGACCCACACTTTTTTTTTTCCGGAGCAAAAAGGTTAGATCTCATTTATAGTTAAATAAATAACTTGATCCATATTCACTTTTGCATCTAAAAAAGTAGGATCTGATTTAATCTATATTCATTTTTTCCATTAAAAAAGTGGAATCTAGTCTTCTTGTATATAAAAAATAGTTGCATGTGGTCACATAGTGATTTTGGATTAAAAAGTGGTCAAAAATTTAGGTAAGGATCAAATATTATTAATTTGAATTTGTAAGGAACATAAAATTAATATTTTAAAGTGATGGATGAAGAAATTCATTTAACGAAACGTGGAAACGTTTTGAACGATTTTTCCTTTTTGTTTTTCCTTTTAAGAATTTGGATCAATCCCATTTTGCTAATCTGTTTCAACATATCATTGTTGTTGGATGTGGGCCAACCCATTTGTGCAAGTAAACAACGCTTGAGGGCTTCTCAAGTTTAATTACAAGCGTCAGCCGCATGAGGTAATTTCAATTCTTCGGTCCTCGTGTGAGAGTGAAAAAGGACAGCCGCCATCTTTTGCTGGTTGAGAGAAAAACAACGAGAGAGAAAGAGCTAGAGAGAGAGAAACTTCAAGGTCTTAATTGGAGGGTGATCTGAAACTCGATTGAGACGAAATTTTACACACGCGATCCTCTTGTTAAGCTCTACTCATCTACCGGTTCAGATTTCAGATTTTCTCTTCATTTGGTAACATATTTCCAAATTCACTTCTTTGACAGTTGTAGTTTTTGGGGGTGATTTTGTAGCAATTTCACTTGGTTGGTGGTGGTGATATTATTGCCGTTTGAATATTTCGGATAGACCTGTGTATTCCCATTATTGTGATAGTGGAGATTTTGATTGGACTAGGTCCCGTGATTTTTCCCAATTGGATTTTTCACGTAAAAATCTTGGTGTCCTATGCCTTCTATTTTTCTTGCATTTTATTATCACTGTTGGCATTATTACTTGGTGATTTGATTTGTTCCTATTTTAACTGGTACTTGGAAAAAGAGAAATTTGTCCTGGGCTAACTCTGATATTGTGTGCCTGTACTGGTACTCCTTTCCCAACACATTATAGGATGTATTTAGTGCAGGGTCGGATACTGTTGCAGGTACGATAATCTGGGCAATGGCCTGATGAAGAGCCCTGAAGCAATATTGAAGTAGGCACAAGCAGAGATTAGAGGTGCAGTTGGAAATAAAGATATAGTAAACGAAGATGATATTCAAAAGCTCCCTTGTCTCAAGGCAATTGTCAAGGAGACCTTCAGATTGTATCCTTCAGCTCCACTTTCAGTTCCAAGACAGACACTAGCAAATTGCATTATAAATGGTCACGAAATCCAGTCCAATTCTATAGTTTACACAAATGTCTGGGGGATTGGAAGAGATCCCGAGTATTGGGAAAATCCAAATGAGTTTTTGCCTGAGAGATGCTTGAATAGTAGTGTAGATATGAAAGGGAAAGACTTTCAATTGATACCATTTGGAGCTGGCCGAAGGGGCTGCCCTGGATATTCTCTGGTACTAGCAATGGTGGAAGTTGGACTTGCCAATCTTCTGTACTCTTTTGACTGGGAATTGCGTTTTGGGATCAAGAAAGACGACATTGATACTCAAGTTTTACCAGGTCTTACAATGCCTAACAAAAATGATCTGCCACTTCCGGCAAAAAATGTGTATGCGTAGCAAATGTCAAGTGCTGGCATCTAAATACTTGGGACCATGTATTCTTTGGTTGTGGAATTTCCTCTTTTTTTTCTTCCCTCCTTGTGTTTAGTTTGTTTTGTGACTTGCTCCTAGTCGTATACTTATATTCTATTGTCTGTTTGGAACCAAGTTTTTTGCCTAGTTTTTTTTTTCTACAAGATTTTTAACAACTTTAATTACGATAATTTCAAACTCCCCAAATTTTTTTAAATGCATAGCTCAAATGCCCAAACACAAACAAAAATTTTTTTCTTGTCTTTTTTCTTCTTCCTCCCCACAACTCAATCTACCACCACCTCCACCAACGGCTGCCACCGGTCGCCACTCCACCGGTTCAGGGGAGGGGGGAGAGGAAAGGGGAAGGAGAGGAGGAAGAGGAAGGGAGGAGGAGGAAAGAGGGAGGAGAGAAAGAGAGAGAGGGAGAAAAGAAAGAAAGGGAAAAAAAACATAAGGAGATTATGTAGATAAATGTAAAAATTACAAGAAGTAACGTGAATATTTATACAAATCATAAGGGTGTTACATAAATATTAAAACTTTATCACACGCTCTCTTAAAATACGTTTGGTATAAATGCCATAATTGGCCGTGCATTCCGTTTTTTTCTACCTTAAAATTTATATAAAACCATAGGAGTTATATGAACATTTTAAAACTCTAAAAAGTTCATTTGACATTATGTAAAACCGCATGCGGGTAACAAGTAATTTGTCCTCTACATATAGTAAGAGACAGGCCTTTTAATATATGTAACTAGGTCCAAGCCTTCTACATAGATTGGCTTAGTTTGATATGGGTACAAAAAATTAAGCCCAAGTTAAAATGGGCCGTACTTGGATAATGCTGAATATGTTCAGTCTCGTATTTTCCCGACCAGACAGTTCAACCATGTTATATACTACTACTTACTAGTTAAATTTAAAAAATAAAAAATAAAAAAAACTGGTCAATTGCAAGATCTTTGTTTGTTGTCAATCATTTCCTCCTCTTTCTTCTTCTTGTGAGGTTTAAAATTTCCATTGGAGAAAAAAATTTCACTTCTTATTAAAAAGTGGCTATGTTAATTAAGAAACTGTGATGCTAATTACGATAATTGTTGTATTAAGTATCTGAAACTTGGTTTCTATTTACCATATTATATTTTGGAAATATATTTCTTTTACAGAATGACAAGTTGACAACTATAAGTAACTAAAAAAATCAAATGAATTAGCCAAAGTGATGTGGCAAAAGTCAATGCCTTCAAAAACATAGTCCCTTGACCACTAGACTGTATATATCCCATTCAATTACTGGTGATGTAATCATGTAATACCGTCCATTCTTCACAGAGCTTATACATCATAAGTTTGATAATTTTATGAAACTCATGGGTCAATACATGTTGATTTGTCAAGGTACTAACCTGCCAAAACTAAATTGAAAATCAATACTCGAGATCGAAAATGAAGAAAGTATAAGTTGAAAACAATCAAAATGTTCATAAATATTGAAGGGCATATGAGCAAATTCACCCTATTCCTGTAAAGAAAGTCGCAAAAAAAAAAAAAAAAACCTTCACCTTATCTCTATGGTTTAGTCTAACATCCTCAATTCGAAGGCCAATTTGATATGTTTTAGATAAATTGTTTAAGCAAAATGTGATGCAAAACCTTTGACTTACGATAGGCGAAGTCATGGACGATGCAATTATTGGGGTTATAAAACCAAGCAATTCCAACTTGCATTAGGTCAGTACTGTACAAATTATTTCCAATCAAACTATTGTATAAAAATCCAAGGAGTATGCGGTTGGGATTCTTAATAATAAATAGGTAAGTAGTACAAGTTCAAAATTAGGGTTAATCACCAAAATTCAAGGAGGTGGTTAGACCATGATCATGGGACAATTGATTTTAAAAAGTTCACTAGTCAACCCTTGAAATGAAACAGTTCTTACTTTGCAATTGATTATTCTTCTTACTTATTACATAACTAGAATTTTGTCCGTACCTTAGCACAGTCTTTTTTTTATTTATTGTGAATTTATACAAATATGAATAATTTAAATGCAAAAATTAACAACAATCCCACGTGTTCACTCATATTAACTTTAAAAACTTAATGTATTCTAAATGTTCAATTATTTACTAATTTTTAAAAATTTGTTTACGTACTTTTATTGTAATATAATAGTATACATCAAATAATGTACCCCATATTAAAAACTTGGTGGATATTCTTTTTTTAAAAATATTTTTTAGATAATTAAAATTTTGTATTTTACAAGATAATAACAATAAGGGAAAAGATGATGAATAATTTGAATATTAATCAACGATATGGTGGTGAAAGGAAGTAATTTATGAGATATGTAAATTTTCAATAATTGTGATTTAGAAAAGATTTAATATAGTTCTATGTAATAATTTAATAAAAGCAAGTATTATTAAGATAAAATCAGTTAATTTTTAAAGTTATTTTAAAATTAGAGATAATTTTTAAATATATAATACAATCCAAATAGGATTCAATATAGGTAAAATCCAAATGACCTATTACCCATTAATTCTGTTCAATTAAGCATGCCACGTAGGAGTGAGAAACAATTCTGATTAAAATAACTGCTCTCATATATATATATATATATATATATATATATATATTTATATTGGTTTTAGTATAGAAGGCTTGGTATTCCCGGATGACGATTGTATCAAGTTGTTGGCTTGTTTGCCAATCATATTCTCATTGAACTTTTTCGACTGAGCATTTCTCAGAAAAACTGAACTAACATTTCCTTTAAACCATTAGCCAAAACTCTTTTAATTCCATAATAATAAAATCCTTATACTATATAAGAATGAGTTTAGGGCAAAGATTTCAACCGCAAGGGTGGGGTTATTTTGGGAATCCTTAATATTATGCATTAGCTTAAAAGCTTTATGTACAACTTAACGAAACTTGTATTTGGATATGTTTACTGAAATGACCCCATTTAATACATTTAAAGTTCTCATTGATGATCCATCTGGGTATTGATGGAATGTGTTATGAGTGTGCAACCGTTTTTGTATGTTGTACAACCTACATATGCTTGTGTGTTGGTGTAATTACTGAAATATCCCTTAACTACCAATAATTTTCCATTTTAATACATTTAAAGTTGTCATTGATGAGCCACCTAGGTATTGATGGAATGTGTTACGAGTGTGCAATTGTTTTTACATTTTGTACAATCCATGTATGCTTGTGTGCTGGTGTAATTACCGGAATATCTCTTAGCTACCAATTCCTTATACTATATAAGAATGAGTTTTAGTCAAAGAGGGCTTTGAATTTCAACCGTATGGGTAGGGGCATTTTGGAAATATGAAATAATATGTAGCTTTTTTAAAGCTTTTGGTACAACTCATAGCAGCATGTGTTTGGGTATGTTTACAGAGATATCCTCATATTTGTACATTTAAAGTTTATATGGTAGGTACAACACAAAATACAACTTATGGTGAATTCTTTTGTCATACATCTCCAGAAATGGGGTTGTGTCTTTTTATGGGTATTTTGGAAATGTATGATTATTTTGGTTGTCTTTTTAGTTGTGGGTATAAGTGATAATAGCTTTTGTGTGGTTGTAATTATTTAAACGTCCTTAGTCTCTAATTAAATTGGAGAGAATGTGGTTTAGTAGGTAATTAGTGAAAGAAATTAATGAGAGAAGGGTATTTTAGGAATGTGAGTTTGTTGTACTGGTCTTTTTAGTGAGTTGCAAATTAAAGGTTGGAGAACATTGATTTGATGTAACTGATTAGACTTCTAGACTTCTCGGCTGGCTAAATTCCATTCACTGCAAAGGTTTACTACAAATGATTTATTAGACACAATTATTAGGGATAATTGCATGAAGTTGGCTAGATAGGTGTTACTATTCAAATTCTGCTGCTTCAACTTCATGTATTTTGGTTTAAGGTCTAATTTAAAAGATTGTCTTTTTAGCTATCTTTACCACTCCCAACCATTCTAGAACCAGGATGGTTAAGACAAAATTAATGCTAATTATTAAAAAACTTATAGCATCAAGTGTTAGCCATCAATTCATCCCCTTTTCTTAGTTTTTGGGTTTGCTCAACAAAGGTATTATTGTCTGGAACCATCTTTCATCCATTTGAAGACAAATCATAACAATCAATTGACTTAGCTTTTTGAATTTTTTTTTTGCTTTACTTGTATTTGTGGTAGGAACAGGATTCATTGGAAGTGTGTTACATCTCCTAATTAGAATCCCCAAGCCAAGGTATGTTGAAACTGTATTTTTTACATTGAAATTTGTCATAATTTGCAAATAAGCTATGATACATGTATAACTGCTTTTTGTGCACATGTTAATATATTTAATTAGGTAATACTAATGCATTAACAATGTCAGCCTCATGTGTGTGAGGAAAAGTTTTGCAGGGAACATTTGGAATAAGGTAACCAAAAGTTTATCCTTTCTGCTGAATCTTTTAAATTCTTTTGATATACATGTCGTTAGTTCTGGAATTGATTTAGGTGTTAGTGCGTATTTAGTGATACTGATTTGGTTTGGTGATAAAGTTCGTTCATTTATGTATTTGGTTATATATATGATTGTCCTATTTCTAGGAATATTTGATCCATTTGGTGGTAGTTTGACCTTTGTACTGCTGATTTGCTATAGTGATAAAGTTGATTCATTTATGCGATCATGTGATAATTGATTTTGGTAGTTTGATCTGCTGCTATAAAACTTATAGCTTGTCTTAATCTTATGTTTGATAATATGTTTATTTTCTCTTATATTCTGCTAAACTTATAGTAATCGAATAGTCTATAGTGGTTGAATAGAATTCGTTAAAGCTTTCATTCCTAACTACCTTAACAAAACATTAGAATTGAACCTAAATTTAGATACATACTTCATCAGTATTGCACCACAAATTATGCCACATAAATAGTTCCAAAATTCGATTGAAGTTGGA